CCCTTTTCAAAAGTTGAAAATGATAAATATGATTGATTTGTTACATTAAACATAATTCATTTGGATTTAAAAAAACATATATGTGCTCTAAAATATGCAGCATAACACATCCTAAAGTGCTAAAGAAAAATTTGCAATAATTGCTATTGCATGTGATGAAAATATTAAGGAAATAATCCCAGTTTTTTTTTTTCTTTTTTCGATTATTACCTAATGTTATCTTAATTCGACATATTTTGAAGGTATTCCAACTTTCTGCAGCTGGGTTAGTTGCTGGAAAATAAAGTGACTAACAATAAACACACAGAGGGCCTGTTGCTGTAAGCATTTAAAGGACTCTGCTGGAGATTGTTGGGTTTAGTGCAGCCGGATACTTTGCAGCCCTAGTTGATCTTTCATCAAATCAGGCACAAGTAATATCACTGCATCCCAGGCATGATGGGAGCCAAGTCACAGAGGGATCAAGTTCTGCTGTGCTTCAGCCAGTGACCTGCCTGCTAAAAGGTTGTCCTAATGAGGCTGCTCCTCAGTTACCCTTCAAGTGCCACAAGTGCAGTGCAGCAAACAATGCTATTTTGAATGGCGTCACAGTGCAGAGTTGGCAGCGATGAATTATTGCTGCCGCTTTGAAGCTGCTTATAGCTTTACTGTGTTGTCAACACATGTAATCATCCAGCATGGTAACATCCAGGATGCTGCATTGCATGAGCCAGCTCGCTGATCGGGTTTTAGGAAGAACTTTTGAGAGAATCAAGAGATGACTTTAAACTACTTGTGTTATGTACCATTTAGCTAAGTGATCAAAGTTGGAATCATGATTAAATCCTCACATGGATCAGAAGGTCGAGGATTAAAGCTGCTCGGCCTTAAGCAAGGCCATCAAGTCTTGTCTTCAATCTTTTAAATGTAAAAAAAGAAGCTTAGTGTTTGTAGACTGCACCGTGTAAACTGAAAATAAGTGGTGGAGCAGCCAAAATCCTAAGAAAGAACATCAAAGGGTCACAAGAAGGAATTTAAACTTTTACAACATCGCTTGGAAAATACAAAAAAAAGTAAAAAAAATAAAAATAAAGAGGAATGCTTCAAAGTAAAGTACCTTAAATTTGACAGATGTCCCCTACGTAAGCACAGTTGTGAAATAACTACCATGGCAAGTTTTTTTTTCACTGTATTCCTAATCACCTTCAGTGTTACAGTCATATTTGTTAATTAGACAAATGTATGCAAGCTAAAATACCTACTAAATTATTTTGATCTGTATTTGAATATGCAACTTGGGGAGGGGGAAAAAGAAGAAAAAAAGCCCACAGCTGAAACCCAATACTAGATTTTTCCCTTTCTGGATCAGTAATTTTGCCGAATGTTGGATCTTACTTTTCCAATTATACAGGTGTTCACAAACTGCTTGAGTTAGGTTGGACTTGGTTATCATCCTTCCATAAGCTCCTCTTTGTAGATTGCTGCAATTTTGGCCAATTCCTCCGGACCACACTGCAGTGACTGGTTCAGGATTGCAGTTCATTTTGCTAACAAGCACCTTTTCAGGTCTTTTCCGTGGGATAGAGATCAACACTTTTAGATAGAGCGTGGATTTTTTTCTCTTCAAGACAATTTGTAATTAACATAGTGGTGTGTCAGGGGCATTGGTTTAAGAAGAAGACATGGTTAATTTTCCTGGATGATGCCTTAAGATGTTGCTTCAAGATTTCCATGCAATACTTTTTGCCTAATAATGCCGTCATATGTTTCAGAAAATGCACCACATACGGCATAATGCTGCCAACCCTGTTCTTCCAAATTTGAATGTTTTCAGACTTGCAAGCTTCCATCTTTGTAGGTAAAGCCTCCAGAAGCGTTGGGCTCAGAGCAAAGATGTCACTAAGTTCTTCTAGTTGTTGCTGGAGTTTTCACCTCACCAGATCTTTGACCTTCGTCCGCAGGCCATGGGCGTTGGAGAAGTAGTGCCAAAAAATGTTGGATCTCTAAGGCTCCCTCTTCTGCCTACCAATTCAATGATGGTCGTTATGGCCGCATATTTTAATTTTAGTTTCTTTAGACCGCAGGGAATGCCTCCAGTAGTTCGGAACTCCAAAACATTTTAATCTTGGTGTCCTAATGCATTTTTATCATTGTTTCATAATTTAATTTCATTATTATACCCTTATAAAAGTTGATTAATGACTTAAAGCTTTCCAGAAAACGATGAAGAGTTAGAAAGTTTATTCACATGTAAGCAATTTACTTGATTTTTTTTTATCTTGTCAAGCGAACAAATGTCACATATAAAGGCTTTAATTTATTAATGCATAAATGTTTTTTAAACCCTAAAGTTACCCGTGTAGCTGCTCAGTATGTAGCTGAGAAAATAAGCAGGAGGAGTTCAGTGAAAGTGAGTTTTTGCTGCTAGACAACATACTCCGGAAGCCACTGATTGGCAGCCTTGTCTGCCCACTCTGGTTGACAGGCTGCTGTTGCAGGGCTGCGGCTGGCCACACTCCACGCCTGAAGGCATCTGGCCCAGGGCCATTTCTAGATTACAAAAACAACAACAACGCCACACCGGATATCCGAAGCACTACAAGCTCATTAAGGAGTCTTTAGGTTGAGACTGGTACATGACTCCCGGTCTCAACCGGAGAGTTTTCCCTTTAAGAGGAACTAAAACTATATATATCGCTTCAGATTTAATAACATACTTTATAAACAGGGGCAGTAAAAAAACACTTTAAGTGCTCTGCCAGAAATAAAAATGCATTTCATGTATACAAGACATGAAAATGTTTATTTGGTTTGTGACATTTATGCTACTTTTTCTTTCCCTCATGGAATGTAAATAACAACATCGTAGTCTCCGCCTGCGGAACAACCAAACATGGACGCCTGCTCTGCTCCTAGAGAGCCTCAAACAATCTACCACGCTGAGACCATATACACAGCATAATGATGCCATTCACATTAGTGGTTTAAGAGGAAAACAGCGTCCAGACCACTTCCAACAAACAAACTCAAATTAAGACCACTGATGACCTCATAGTAGGCTAGTAAACCAAGCTGCTTTTCTTTTCAACATAAAATAATACCACCCTTGTTGAATGAATGTTTTCTGTAGGAGAAGTATGGAAATAAAACCAATATCCTGTCATTTAATACAACTAAAATAGATTGCTCTTTCTTCTTCACAGATTTTTTTATTTTCCGTTAAGGTTTTGACAAATGTCCAATAGGAGTGTTTGGATATTTTGCAACTAAGCAATCCAATAATAAAAAATAAAAAAAAAACAGTAGAAACTAGATTTTTACATAAGCTTTATGTATATTTTTTCAGTCTAGCATTAAATTAGATTTTTAAAAAAAGTTTCCTGTTTCAGCTTAGACAAACTTATCAAATATAAGTAACTTGGTAAATGAAAAAGAGAGAACTTTAACTGCAGTTTATTTTATAGTTAAAAAGATAAAGTGATGCAAACATAAACAGCATGGTCATTCTTCATTTGTTTTCACAGAAAAATAATACAGATCCACTATTGACTTGTACTAAAAGGCAAGGAAGAAGGCATTTCCTGAAAAGCTACTATCCTTGGTTTCTAAACAAAACACCTTTCTTAAGCTTTTAACATTTTTTTTCTGCATTGCAACAAATTGATGTAACAATTTCACCTAATTTACCTGCTTTTGGTTATAAAAAATATTTACTTATGCAGTTTTTTTTTTTTGTTTTTTGTAAAGAATTTTTGCGGTTTTGAGGTTGGCCAGAAAGGACGGCTTTATAATCAATTGAAGGATTTTGGATAAAAGAAAACATGGAATTTAAACTAAAAAAACATCCAAATGCATTGGAAAAGGACTTGATATATAGACATAAATGTCACATGCAAAATGTTTTAGCTCATAAGATGTTAGTTACAATTGAAGAGGGGATGTCTACTATCAGTGCAAATATTAAATAGTTTAAGATAAGTAACCTAAATCAGAATCATGCTTTCAATTGTTATGTTTGGTGTTGAGACTTGCCTTCTCATGATTACCTTACTCCTGTTACAAAATCCACATCCAGATCTTGTGATTTGGTCATAAACACAATGAAAACATCTATATGTATGATCAGAAGTGTAATGTTTGAACCGCAATGTTTGCCTGACTTGGAGGGATATTTTAGTTGCAGCTGTAGGAGTTTAGGAATGTGTGACCACAAGATCTTTTGGCCCCAGCCTGCTTGTCTTCCACCCCTGTCTGGGTCCGAAGACACGGACCGTTGCGTCCCCGAACGTCTGCTTCAGGTCCACTGTGTGACAAACCACAGCCGACAGCCACCCACACACAAAGGGGAAAATGACAACCTTTGGTAGAGCAGCTGCTCTCTTGGAATGGCTGTAAAAACGGAGAGTTTTCATTTTTACCCCACTTCAGAGAGAGCAGGGATTGTTTCCGGCCTGAGTGTGGGCGACTGTGCAGCTGAGGACGTGTCAAACTCATGTCAATCAGCTGGGAGGACTATGTAGCTCATCAGGCCCATACCGACATCTACTGGATAAACGGAGCCTGAATGCTGCAGTGACCTTTTGCCTGGTTTCTCTTAAGCAGAGTAAATGCTCAATATTAAACCTACTAAAAATGTTGGTCCATATAGATATGAATTGATCAAATGAACTGGACTTAATAGCGGTGAACTGATAGTTCCTGCTAATGCAAAGCATTCACTAACCATGACCCTTCCACCTTCATGCAATTTTGACCCTTCTTCTGGGTGAGCAGTTCACTGAATTAAATGTCTAAGGTTTAAACAAATACTTTTAAAAAATGCTGAATAGCTATATACTAATCATGTTGACCCAAGTGAACAAGCAATACCTTTTTATGAAAGATTTTACATAAAAAAATAAAATGCTTGTTTCCTCTGTTAGTATTATATATTTGTATTACTTGAACCTTTTCTTTCTCCAACCGTTCATAAACATGAATGCCACATTAATTGACCTTGTTTGTCCTCTTGCTCTGTCCAGGATGTGCCCCACTAGCTGCCCAATGACTATAGAAGCCCCTCTGTGGCCCTGAATCCTCAGGTATGAATGGATTTCAGTGTTGTTAAAATCTATTTGTCTAAAACTGCTAGAAAAATATACAGGCTTATAATAAAATGGCCATAATTATGTCTTGAAGTTGTATTTTAAGTAACTTGAGTTTATTTCTTTCCCTTTGGTTGCAGACACACCTCCATGTTCTGCAAACTTAGGTTTGGCAGCGTGGGACTGCAGGTGTGTGATGAGTCATTTCTAGACTTTATTGGGCTGGAAACAGATTATTATTTGAATACTAAATAACATAATACAAAGCAATGAGGAAAAAAACCTTATGTATGTTGTCTCTGTTGAGTTTTGAAAATATGAATATAGTGTCATTTTAATTTAAATAGATGTGAGGTTTATGTTGATTTCATCTTTCTGCTAAATACTAGTGTAGCTGTCAGCAATATACTTAATATAATGCACATATCCATCTGTCTTCTGTTTGTCTAAACTTAGAAAAACCATCAAAGATCATATAAGTAATATTCTGAACTAAATGTAATGTTGCTTAGCACTGCCACAAGAAATAATGTCTTAATGTCAAAAGATATTTACGTTATCAGGTTTGCGTGGAATAATAAAGATATCGCTGTATGACGGGCTCTTGGTCTGATATTGGGTGCTTAGACCGACTTATATTTTCGCTTGTGCAGACATTTACCTACCCAATATGGCGGCATCTCTGACGTTCGAAAAGACTTTCGGCCTTTCACGTACGTGATACTAATCGCGCATGTACATTCGGCACTCAGGAAATAGGAATTGGTTTAACTGTTTTTAATACATTATCTTTTACTCTTAACTCTTCGTTTCTTTTTTTACATGAAATCTTCATAAAGTTTTGGTTGTTTGAAAGAAAAACCCCGAAAGAAAAACTTTAGCAACTAGAGACGAATCAGCTGTCGGTGTTCTTCAGATTGGACAAAAACATCACTTCCGGTGTTATCCGGCGGGCTGGATGAAAGCAGGAAAAGCGCGCTCCATCATATATTCGCCTTATACAGGCGGATTTATGTTTTTACTTACAGATTACGGTAAAAACGCGCCTTTATAAATTTATATATGTATTTCCCCGGAGATTTATAGATTGTCGCTGTTGTTTTTTGTTTGTTAATCTTTCGGTGGTTGCTGAATAAAAGGCGAATTTTAGTTTCACATTTCCACTGGACATGGACCGTCCATCTAGGTGAGTGTTCGCTTTTATCATGAATCAACTGATTAATTTTGACAGTTGTTGATGACATATTTATGTTCAAACAGGAAGTCAAAGGTTGTGAACTACTGTGAATTCAAAGACCTAGATGATGGTAAGTGAGATGATCCATTCAAGTTTGCTTAGTTCACTACATATTTACCCAAATGTTACCAAACAGATCTCTAATTAAATTGTCTGTAAGGCAAGGCAAGGCAAGTATATCGACAATTCAAAGTGATTTACATGAATTAGATAATAAAATAAAGAAAAATAAAGGCACAATAAAACCAAATAAAGCTAAAAAAAAAAAAACATCAGCAAAGCAAATAAAACATTTACAACTTAAACTAATAAAACCTCAGTTTAACTTTAACAGTCAAAGGCAGTTCCAAACAAATAAATATGCTTTTAACTTTGACTTAAATGATAAAATTCTGTATTATTTTTATTTTGATATTCTGCAAATTGATGAAGTTGTATTCTCTTAATATCTGCAAATCTAAAATGTTCAACTAGCCATGCAAATTATTTTTTATGGGAACCGAGGCGCCATAGAAGAGGGTAGATTTTTGAGTAATAGTCCAGTTTTGTTTTTTTTGATTGTTTTATATTTTCACTGTCTAAAAATCAATTCACCACAGCTTCTAGATTTTTCATATTATGTCCTATTTGCTTCTGGATAACGTAGAAATAAAACATGTAATTTGAGTTTCTCTTAGCTAGATAGTCTCCAAGGATGTTATATTTTTAAAACGCAAGGCCAAAAGAAATTAACAATGTATAGTTAAACATTTGTTAACGTATTTCATATCATTATTATGATATTTTCCTACAATATACCATATTTTATGTTCTTCTAATGTCATGCAGCTGTTGTTCACTTAGCCTTTAGAAGAAAAAACATCCCCAAGCATCACGGATCCTTGGCCATACTTAGCAGCAGACCTGATGTGCTTTTCCGCTTATGAATGCCATAGATCTGCTCCAAAGATGTTTGGGATGTTGGTATGTCTCCTAGTCAGCCATTTGGTTTGCATATTTTGTCCAATGGTTGTTCTTTAGACTTAACATCCAAGCTCCTTTTCCTGGGAAGTTTAGAGATTCTTTTGGTTTGAGTTCTTGCCATTTTGCTCGTTTTGCATGGCACCATAAAAAACCTAATGGGTCACACTTTTTTCAACATTATTTTTCTCCGTCTGTGTGTTAAAATTTAGATGAATAGATCATGGAGATAAACACACTTCTGTCACACCTGAATAACGAGCTCTGATCTCTGTTTCCTGCATTCTCTCTTGGACAGATGAGGATTTTGCGTGTTCAAAAGCACCACCCAGCAAAAAGCCCAGAGAGGAAATTAGACAGGAACAGAAGAAATCTTCAGGACGTTCCTCCAGTCAGGATAAAAATCCAAAATCTGATCAGAGCGAGAAAAGCAGGTGGGAAATGCAGATTAAACTTCAGTCTAGTTTGTGAATATGTAAGAATGTAGCTGTATTTTAAGAGACGCTGCACAGGTTAAAAATATATATGAGATAAAAGTCTCACTGCAGAGTTAGGATTAAATCACTTCTGATTCTTTATTGTTTGTTCAGGAAACCGCTGGATGAGAAGTTGTATGAAAGAGATCTTGAAGCAGCCATCACTCTTTCTTTACTCAATAACTCAGATGGTTTAAAGGAATCCCCCAACAGTAAGGTTCGGCTGTTATGTAGATTTTACGATCATTGAACATCAACGTTAGTTTTCTGATTATTTTTTTCAGTGGAGGTAAAAGTTCAAAGCCCGATTGATGAAAACACAGACCCAGCTTCTTTGCTGTTGTCCAACTGCAGTGTTGATGGAGCAGTGTTGGGTAAATATCTTGTTTTTGCTGTTTTATTCTTTTTCTTCATGTTTTTATTTTAATAACCGTCTCTTTTATTTCCAGGCCTCGATGATATCACAGTAGAGAAAGGATCACCAGCCGCTCTCAAACTTAGAAAGACTTCGCCTAGATCCTCTGAGGTGCAGAGAAAGAAGGACGAAGATGAAGACTACAGACCCAAACAGGCGGCAGGTATCAGCCAGGCCATCGGTGTTGGTGTCAGCCTGTCTTTGTTGTCGGTACAGTGACTGTGGTGCCTTTCCAGATTCAGAGAGCGATGAAGATTTCAACGAGTCTGCTGAGAGCGAGGATGAGGAGTTTACAGTGAAGAAAGCCAGCAAAGCTAAAAGGAAGGAGAAGGTGACCAAAAAAGACAAAACCAAACCAAGTCCTGCTTCCAGAACAGAAAAGAAACAATCCAGAGTTTCTCAGTCCAAACCACCTGCAGCAGGTAAGATGTTGCTTGTTTACTTCAGATTCTGTCAGATCTGGGGAAAAAAAACAAAAAAAAACTTGAGAGGTTGGAACAATAATTTTTATTTACAGGCATCAATCCCAATGTCTAAATTTCCTTTTTGATTTTGATCCCTTTTTGCCTCCTTGTTTCCTTCGTTCTGTCTTTGTATCCTACTCTTTTAATTCTTCCCTTTTTTCTGTCCTACCTCCATTCCTGTCTTTTTACTCTCTTTTAATCTTTTCTGTATTTTTCTGTTGGCTCCTTCCCTGCTTCCTTCCTTCTGTTTTTCTTTTCTTCCTTGTGTCTTTTCACTCAGTTAAATGCCCTTCCTTTCCTTTTTCTCTCATGCTCACTTTCCTTTCTTGTATCTTTTCTCGCCCACCCTTCCCTAATGGTGTCCCTCCTTTAGATTTCCTCCTTCATTTGTACCCTTACCTTCCTTTTTCCCTTTTGTCCCTCCTTTCCTCTAGCCTTTGCTCCTGCCTCCTTTCTTGAATCGTTTCTCTCCCTCCCAGTTTCGGCATAAACATTCTTCCCTCAACAGTTTGAAGATCCTCCATAAACTCAAGAATTAATGTTTTATACCTCCGAATGAACAATAACTGTCAGCTTTGGAGAGTTACACATTTATTTATTTATTTTTTTTACATTAAAAATATTCCAGTCTTTGCTTTAGAACCGCTTCATGATTGGGTGTTTTTGTTCCAGCAGTTTCCACCCTGGGGAGAAGCCCCCCAGCAGCCAAACTGGCCCCCAGTAGGCCATCTTCCCTGAGCACAGCTTCCACTGTGAAGCCTGTCAGCTCTCTGAGCCCAGCAGGGGGCAGAATTCCCAAGTGGAACCCACCAGGTAAGACCTGACTGTCCTCCCTGCTACGTCTCTGTCCTCAGAAGGTGAATCTAATTGTGTTTCTGTTTTTGTTCTTCAGCTCAGATCGGGAAAAGTCCAAACTCATCCCAGACTCCGGCTGTGAAGTCTCCCAGCGCCGGTCTGAGACTAGGACTGTCCCGCCTCGTCCGAGTCAAACCGCTCCATCCGAGCCTTGCTACTCACTAGATAATCTGTCCTGTATGTGTGTGTGTGAGTGTGTGTGTGTGTTGATGAATGCTGTCTAGATTTTAATCAAACCTTCAGATGTATTAATTTCTGTGTTTGTTTGTTTATTTTTTCAACTCAAACAGGATGATTTCAGAAATATTTTTATTCTGTTTTTTAGCCTGTAGTCAGATGTCTCTCATCTCTGATTATATTGAGTTTTGGTTTCATTGTATCTTTGGAAAACCTTTGTAATGCTTGTATATTCTGTACAGAAACACAAAATAAAGTTCAAGGCATTCATTGCCGATATTGTGTCCACGCTGTTTTTTTTGTTTTGTTTTTGAGGAATAATTTCTAAGGTATATATTTTTTAAACTGCTTTGACTGTTGCATGTGAGGAAGAGGATGGATGTGTTTAGGGTGTGGGGGGGTGCAGATAAACAGTGCTCAGGGTAATTTCTATTACTGGTCTTAAAGTTTTGTTTCAGTCCATTAGTAAACCGTGTTTCTGTGTGGTGTTTATTGTTAAGGATTTCCAGCATCTTTGTTTTGTTTGCTTGTTTTCTGCTCAGTTTTGACTTTTTTCAGGAAAAATCTCAAACTTCTTGCCAGTATCACTGAATCATGAACTCTGACCTCAACTAAAGATGAATGAGGCCTGAGGAGTTTCCTTGTCCCTCTACAGCTGTGGCAATATTTATGCCTCAAGTGGACACTAGGGGCTGCTAGAACAACTTATTCCTCTGGTCCAAAAAAGGCCCTACTGATGTTTTCCTTCTCCTATTTTGTTTTATTGGCAGTTTTGTCATTTTGCATGTATTTATAGGAAAGCAGTAAACAAGCTACTTCTATCAAACACTTCTTTTAAATACATAAAGCCAAATAAGCTGGGTCACATTACAATCAAGACACTATGAAAAAGCCTGCCTTTGAGTTATAGTTGAGCCTTTAGAGAAAGTTGTATTTTTTTATTCTGTGTTTGTAAAAGGTGATAATCAGAGTATTTTATACATATCAGCAGACATCAGTTCTTATGGCTTTTTAATCTCTTAGGTCTGGTTGATCAGCTTTGTAACGGTAGCTTAACAATTGTTAAACCAAACTGGTAAACTTCTCACAGTATCCGGCTTTGTTACAATTAAAGGCTGCATGATGCAGATAATATGTTTTAATAATAAGAAGTGAATAATTGACCCTTATGTTCCAAGAGGAAAATATAAAATAAATTATGGTGATTCAAGTCTGAAATTCAACCCAGGAAGTTCAGCTGAACGTCTAGTTGTCAGTCTTCTAGATTTTAATCCATATACTTTTGTTAAAATAATATGATCCTAAAAAGTTTTGTAGGATAACCCTGTATTGGGATGTTTTTGTTTTTTTCACACATGGTCATGTATCTAGTTCTGAATGGACAGCTTGTTTTGTAGATTCTCACTAATACATCAGCCCTTAATTGCCACCGGCTGATCCTTGCAGGTGGTGTAAAGAAGGAGAACGATGATGATCCCTTAACCTTTTGGGTTAAAAACTGTGCAAGTTAAATATGTGGTATACACTTTTTCAGTTTCTGAACTTTGGCATTTAAAATGGTTATTTATTAAATACTAATTTGGCAAGTTAAGACTTCTCTGTTCTTCTAAGCTTGCAGATTTGTTAGAGAAACCAAACCGTAAACAGCATCAGGCAGCTTATTGCTGCGGTTGTAATTGGGTTTATATATATATATATATATATATATATATACCAAAGTTTGATTTAAGGACCCTTTATTTCTGCCAATAATATCTCTTGCACCAATCAACAGCCCTATGATTAGATTTCGCACACCTCTATACTCATTGAAGCTCTGGTGTTGCTATTTACATTCTCAAATTGGTATTATTTAAAGTCTTTAAAAGTAATAAGTTAGCATGTGGTCATTTGAGCTAAAACTATTTGTTCCAACTGTAAAATAGCCTATAGTGAAAGCAACATTAAACAAAATAGCTTTGGTAAATATCAAAGTTGATTAAATTTTACAAAAACAGACATTGCTAAATCAAACAAACATTAAAATATCAAAATTATCTTTGTTCTCCACAGGTATTCTCCAAGCTAAGAACAAAGTGTAATATTTTGATGGCTCCAGAATTATTAAAATATTACTCTTTGTTCTTAGCTGAAGGAAACCTCTCCCATTCCATTCCCAAATCTTTGCCACATACAGAATGACGATTATAATTCTATATAGCCAGACTGAGGAACTAGCCTTATTAGAAAAGCTACTGGGGAAACAACGGTTCTGACACCCAACAGGCAGCTAATACTGTAATGAACTCACACATCATCAATGATAATTATCTTAACAGAAGAAATCCTACATTAAAAAAAAACAAATGATAAACTGTTCCTAGACGCCCTAAGCAGTCACTTGGTTTGCTTATGCTTTGGGCTGGCCCTGCATGTGTAACTACAGTTTCTGCTCTGTGCTGCCTGCAGGGGGCTTTTTTATCGACTTGGACACCTGCTCCCCAAAGCACAGGCGTAACTTTGTGAAGGACTGGTGGGGGACATGTCCCCACCAACAATTTCCACTTTTTTTCCCCTTCAGACTCATCATCTTTAGCCAAAAAGGTAACAGAGGTTAGGTGCAGCTATCTTTGTTCGGAGCATTTTTTCCTCTCTCGCGCTGCTCCTGTGTCCCACCTCTCGCTGTGACATCATCAGATCTGTATTTTTGGGGAATCTGATTTGCCATCTCATTTCACTGAGTACAGAGTAGCTACGTGGTTGGAGGAGAGACACACAGCAGCACTCAGTGAATATTAACCAGCAGCTACTTCGATGTTTAAGCAAAAGTTTAAAAAAAATTAGAGATGCCACTGAAAAAGAAGTTTGTAAGGCATATGGAGCTTTTTTCGCAAAAACAGCAACAAATTATAAGTTTAGAAAAGTTAGTATTATAATGCAAGAAGCTTGAGAAAATATATTTTAAATGTTGTGTTCTTCTTTACTAGTTAAAAAAGGTTGGCTTCTCAGAGGACCATGACTCTCAGCAGAGGCGTAGCAAGAAAATGTTAATAAGGGTGGCCAGGCACTAACCAATGTACACTGAGGGGTGGCCGAAAGCGGATAGGCGCCAGAACATCAGGGTCACTCTACACTATTCCAACAGGGAAATTAACAACCACAACTATATTTTCCTACAGCCTTTACTAACAAACAGACGCATATATTTAAACATCCATACTGTCTAAATTAAAGGTGTAGAGGAAAAAATTCTTTCAAGTTTGAATTCTGGGGCGAACATCCTAATCATTATCATTACTTAAATACCTTCATCAATAATCGTTCTGTAAAAAATTAATATTTAAATCTAATAATATCTACATTAAATGACTTATTATTAAAGTAGTTATTTATTTCTGATTTCATTGAAGTCTACTATATGACTTGCAGAGACCCATCATTTTTTCTTTACCCCATAAGGCAAAATCTAGTTCTGAAACGAGCATTAATTCTGTATATTTTTATGTTAATATATTGATGTGCATAATTAACCACAGTGTTTTTGTTTTGAAGTAACTATTAATATATAAAACAAATTTTAATGTTAAATAGGTAGGAACATTCCACTTCAGAGTATTACTGATGCCACCGTCTGTGGCCAAAAAAGGGGTGGCCACAGGGGTGGCCAATGATTGGCCATGGCCACCCCTGGGCCCCCATCTAGCTCCACCCCTGACTCCCAGTTACAGGTTAAAATTAACATGTTTTCTTATTGAACAGACAGAATCAGACTTCAGAGCTTCTACATATCTTGAAATATAGTTTCTGGTATTAATATAATAATAAAGAGGTTCATAAATCTTTTTAACAGAGCACAGGGAGAAATAGGGAGAGCTGCAGATTTAAGGTGAAAGTGATCTACAGGGATATGCAACATGCAATGAAATATATCTCCAAGATCACCAGAAAGTTTATAATAAATAAAAAAAATATGCTATGCTATATTCCAAATGCAGCATATCCATTTTTTTCTGGATGGATGGATGGAATGGAGATTGTATTTCTAGGGATGCATGATATATTGATTTTGGCATCAGAATCAGCTGTTATTTGTTATTTTTTTATACCTTAATGTTTAATAGGAAAGCATTCACTAAATATATAAAATATATTTTTGGAAAATACAAAAACCAAATGAAAGTGCAGAAGAGTTAACTGAATTAAAAATTTTATTCCAGTATAATATGATAAGAAGAAGTCAGAATTCTGGTTAAAAAAATAAAATACATTAAAAAAGACAAACATTTTTTCCCCAACACCTTTAATGTGACATGGAGTGTGAAAGAGTCAGTCAGTTATTGGTTAATCCAGCACAAAGAAGGCTCATAAATCACTTTCCTTTATTCTTTTGGTCATTTGTTGGGCTAAATGTGCGATTTTTTTCATGGTACTGGTAATGATTTTTTTTTTTTTTTTTTTGCAAAAAAGGAACATACATGAACAATATAGAACATTAATAATTACAAACATATACAACAAGAAAGGGCTTTACAGAACAGAACTATTATTTTAAAATGTCAAAATCAAATCTATGCTGGAGGGTTATAATTCTTTACGGGCAGTTATAATTTCCATGGCTTTAGCATTTCACCTAAATTTTAAGGATTCTGTTTAGATATTAATAGAAAATAATAAAATCTGGAAATTAGGTTGTTGTTGTAAATATTTGAAGGTGTGAATATGATATTTACCATAAATAATAAAAAATTATAACATATAAAAATTCTATTTTGAAAGGTTTATATTTCTCCATCCCAAACAAAACATCCTTATCTGTTAAAGTAATTTTAACATTTTTTGGATGAAAAAAAATTGACATATCTCTCCAGAATATTTTGGTATAATTAAAATCCCAAAAAAGATGAATAAGCTTTTCTTCATTATTATACTTTTTACAAAACTGCTTTAACAGGATAAACATTATGAATCATTTTATAAGAAATTATAATGAGATTTATTTTTTCTTATTTCAGCAGGATTCCAGTTGAATGGATAGAAGGAAAACATGGAGCGGATTAAAAAAATAAGATACTCTTATTGCTTTTAACGGGACATTATTCTCATTTAGAGACAGATTAAGTTTAAAAATGTATCCTCTGATATCAGTAGTTGGTTAAAACCGCCAGTATATTCAGCGTTACAACCAAGTTAATCTGTTTTCCTTCACTCCTGCTCCATCTGTCACAGAGTTTGCTGCTGGTTTTCCCTCCTCCTCAGCAGTTAAGGTGAATGTTCTGCAGGTGTGATAGGAGGAAAGCCTGGTTTATTGTGTAAACTGCTAGACTGCTGACTGCTAGAATACAGGTTATCATATTTTGCTTTCAGGACATTTCTAAGGGTGGAGATAGAGAGAGGAGTTAGATTATCCAGACTGGAGGAAAAAGTTTCTGCTCCTTCCTTTGAGAGCAGGAGCATAGTGGCCCCTGAGGATGAGGTCTGGCTGGTTCAAAGCTTTCCTCATGGTCATAGCTGTGGCTTCAGGTTTGGTTTACCTGAGCTCCATAAAAGCAGAGCTGAGCACCCACTCAGAGAGGCTCCACAGGGCCCAACACAATGAGTCCCTCAGGGGCCAGGGAATGATGATGATGAGGAGGATGGAGATGATGGAGAAGGACATCAACAGGCTGAGTGAGTTAAAGTTTCTGTTCAATGGGCAACTTTTCCTGTGTTTTTTTATTTTATTTTTTTGTTGCTGTTAAAAACGTTCAGTTTTTGTATCTTAGATTTTAAAAGAAAAAAATTGTTTAAATCAAATAACTGTAAAACAGAAAAAAAATGTAATTGGCAAACCGGTTTTAAAGACACAGTATTAGAAATAAGAAAAAGCCTTCTGGTTTGATTTGAGATTATAAACTAAGACTTGTTTTTATCTGATTCCAACATCAGTTTAAGTCAACATGATTAGGGGAGAGTTAAATTAACGTTTTAATATGTTGATTCATGTGCTGATGGGTGTACAACACAAAGAAGGGGATATCTTCTAAAGCAGTGATTCCCAGTCTGCGAGTCCATTTAAAGGGGTACATAAAAATACTTTATTCCTTAGGTAGTTTAATATAATGGGGCTGGGATCTGTTTTGCTTTCTGAGGACCAAATTGAAAGAATTAAAACTTTTATCAATCAAAAAGTTTTTCTTATATGTTTGAGTTCACCTTGAGCTTTGACACATCAAAACCAGGCAGAGAAACAGATTGGAAGTCCCAAAAAAGGTAAAAAAAAAAAATAAAAAATTTTTAAAAACAAACCTCTGGACTCTGTTTTCCAAGTTTGAAGACATTCAAAATGTCTGGAGTAGCGTTTGAATAACAGGCTAATAGAGTGGCCCAAAGAAAAGCCTTGTTATGGCTTAGGGAAGATGCAAATTGAACTGAACGATTTGCATGTTTTCTAAATCATAACAAAGCTTTTGTTTTCTGGATGTGGAGCGAAACATATTCAAAGTTGGGAAAACAAAGAATGTTGAGAGAATCTTCACCAGCAACAGACTGGAAGTAAAGAACAACCTTAAAACTAAGCTAGTCTGACTATAATTTTTATTCTGCATTTTGTTCCCAATCCATCAAGTTCAAAATGTGATTATAATGGAGTTGCTCAGAGGAGCTCCAGCTTTATAAATAGAGGTTTAAAATATGATTTTATTTTGTATCCATTTCGATTCCTTACTAACTTCCAGGCAACATATTCATGTTTTTTTAATTTGATATGAAAATAATAAAATGGCTAAGCATTAAATGCTCAAAATAAAAGATAAAGTAAAATATTTTTTATTTTATAATCCGTTATTGTACGTTCTACTTTAGGAGTCATAATTACTTTTGACTGAGAGGGGGACCCATGTTAAGACAAAATACCCAAAGGGGTGCAAAAGTTAAATGTAGGGAAACACTGTTTTTAAACAAATTAAAGACACAAATTATTTTGTTCACAGTGAGTTTGATGAAACACTATGAAAAGAAGGAGCAGGGACTAGATAAAGCAAAGAAGGAGAAGAAGCGGGTGATGAAGCTGTTCCCAGACTCCCATCTGTTCCGCAAGTGGGGCGACGATCTGTCAGAGGAGGAGCAGAAGGAGGCAGAGGACTTGTTCCAGCGGTATGGATACAACGCCTTCCTCAGCGACCGGCTGCCGATCAACCGAGAGATTCCTGACACCAGACCTCCAAGGTGAGCTTCTCATCCTGTTCCCTCAGGATTTGCTAAGAGCTGGCACACCTTTTCCACAAACAGCTGTTATCACAGGGACTTCCTACAATCCCCTCCATAGACAGGGTGTAGCCCTGTAAGAATTAGCTAAGAGTCCTGATCTTGGATCATCTTGAGCTTTGGGAGGTTTAAATTCTTCTTCATTAGCTTAACTCCTGCAAACTTTTTATCCAATGAGTTAATGTTAAACATTTATTCATAGAATATCTAACAGGGAAGGATGTTTTTAGTAGATATAGATTGTAGCTGCACAGCATTGCTTTTTCCAGCCATCAAAAGGAGTTCAAAAGGAAAGAAGGACTGTGATTTTAAAATTTAAAAGAAAATTATATCTTTAGAAAACAAATCAGTCTTTTTTTTAACCTGCAAATAAAAATAATTTCTTTGCACCTTGCAACAGAGGAGGCTAGTGTCAGCAAAAATCTGCTTATGAGAGCTTAAATCAGGTTTATGAGATTCACCATAATTGTTAGGTGTGCTGAGTGAGTGAAGCATCAGAATAGATTTGTAGAACTACTGCAATTAGGATTACGTAAATATTTCATAAGGGATGCGGAGAGACTCCTGATGAAGATGACAGAATGCTGTAATTGAGCAATAAGGGGTTTGTTTCTTCATAGCATCAGATTAAGGTAAGAGTGTTTGGACATATGCAACGTTTTTATTGCACCAAGCAGGTTTGTTTTTTGTCTTGAATGATAAAGATGAATCTCATGTAAAGAGATATTAACAAGTTTTAAAACTGATCTTTTTTGTATTCTTCCAATTGTCCAAAATCTAACTATTCTCTTTTATGGATGTAATTATAAACAGTTTTTTTTTTTTTTTTTTACAGATGTGCGGAGAAGAGGTATCCAGAGGATCTTCCCTCCCTCAGCGTGATCTTGATTTATCTGGATGAAGCCCTCTCTGTCATTAAGAGAGCCATCCGCAGCATCATTGACAGAACCCCTCCTCGGCTGCTGCTCGAAATCATACTGGTGGATGATCACAGCTCTAATGGTACGCTCAAAAGCAAGGAAAAACCTCTGGCTCTAAATCCATCTTTAAAGTATAATTTGTTGTAAAAAAAATACTTTTATTTTATTAGATGCTTTTAGTATTTTTTTGTTTAGAGATATCTTGAATAATTTTCTACTCCTAATAAAAGAGGACTGAATGAAATGACAATTAGCCAATAATGTCTTTAGCTGGAACAAATCCAGAATGACTGATGGCTTATTTACGCCTGGTTATTTGTGTCTTTATTGAAGTGTGAAAAGTGAGTCTACTTCTCATATGTTTTTTTTTAAATGTATTTTACTGCAGATGATTTATTGGGCAAACTGGACGAGTACATTAGCTCCATCCATGAGGAGCGCCCAGGCCTGGTGAAGAAAATTCATCACTCGGAGCAGCTGGGTCTAACCCAGGCCAGACTGTCAGGGTGGAAAGCAGCGGTTGGAGATGTGGTGGCCATCCTGGATGCACACATAGAGGTCCATGTCCAATGGTTGGTGGAAAAGCAGAGCAATCTGATGTTTGATCCTATTTTTAATGTTCCAGTAAAACAGTATCCTTCATGTGCAGGGCAGAGCCTCTTCTGGCTCGGATTAAGGAGGACCGCACTGTGATACTGACACCAGTTTTTGACAAAATCAGCTTTGACGACTTGATACCGATTCCCTATGGAACCAGTGCTCATGGCTTTGACTGGGCCATGTGGTGCATGTACGAGGGCTTCAGACCTGAGTGGTACGCCTTGAGGGACGACTCCCAACCTGGCAAGTAAGAATTTACAGGAAATGCATATGAGTACTGAGATTATAGTGCTCTTTTTGGACCTTTTGAAACAATGTAAAAAATAAAATAAAAATTAGAAGTGACTTTACTTATCTCACAACGTTAAGATACTAATCACGTGTTACATCAGCTCTAGTCTGCAGTTTTGCCTGTAGGGTTTCTACACAGCCTGGAGGAGTGTAGCAGCAGATTCCAGTTTGTTTTCGGTCATTTTTTTTGTAAAAAAAAAAAAAAAGTATAAAAAAAATTATATTTTCACTCTTAATTCTGGGGTGAATGGCATGTTGTTAGACAACCACAAAAAAAACATGACAACACATTTACTGACAGTCTAGTCAAACCATACTGTGGCCATTATGAGCATTATGAGACATTGTTAATAACAGTTGACATTGTCATTAAAGATATTTGGTTGGAAAGCAGCAAGTTATAATTAAAAGCAACTTCAAAAAGTTTTTTTTTGTTTTTTTGATGAAACAGTCAGTCCTTTTAATGTTATCCCAAGGTCTACTTCCCTTTTGTTAAATTGCTTGAAAAGCATTATTTTTCTAACTTTTGTTTTTTTTTTTGCCAAGTGATCCCTTTTGAAGTGTATACATATCAAGCTCTTAAACATCTTATTTGCTTTATTGTTCTTTTAGTATAAACACAATATTAAAATTTATATAAATATATTGGATTTTTGTATAGATAACTTTACCCATCACACACCAACATGGTGAAGATCATTATATTTTTTAATATATTCAATATCTGAACCAATCTAACCTTTAGCACAAAAGCAGAAATACAAACACAAATACAATTTTAGCCAATGATTGAGGTCATGCAATCCTATGACTAGTTTTAACCAATTTTTGAGGTCATATTTACTAGGACTAATTTTAGCGATTCTATCGTCATACTATCGTATGACTGGTTTTAGCGTGTTTTTGTGGTCATACTATACTATGACTCGGTTTAGCATGTTTTTGAGGTCATACTATGACTCGATTTAGCCAATTTTTGAGGTCATACGATATTTTTGGATTTAGCCAATTTTTAGTCATACGATACTATGACTGGATTTAGTGTGTTTTTGAGGTCATATTATCCTATGATTGATTTATCCTATTTTTAAGGTCATACTATACCATAACTCGATTTACTGTGTTTTTGAAGACATACTATTACTCGATTTAACCCATTTTTGAGGTCATACTATGACTTGATTTAGCCAATTTTAAAGCCCATACTATACTATGAATCGATTTAACCAATTTTTGAGATCATACTATACTATGACTCTATTTAGCCTATTATTGAAGCCATACTATACTATGACTAATCTTAGCTAATTATTTTGTTCATTGTATACCATGCCTCGATTTAGTGTGTTTTTGAGGTTATACTATGCTATGATTTATTTTAGCCAATTTTTTTGTCATACTATACTATGACTCGATTTAGTGTGTTTTTGAGATCATACTATACTATGAGTTGTTTTAGACAATTTTTGAGGTCATACAATGGTATGACTCAATTTAGGCAATAATTGAGGCCATGCTATAAACCATGACTCTATTTAGCGTGTTTTTGAGGTCATACTTTACTATCACTCTATTTAGCAATTTTTTTGTGGTCATATTATACTATTACTGGATTTTTGAGGTAATGCTATACTATGACTTGATTTAGCCTATTTTTGAGGTCACACTATACCATCACTGGATTTAGCTAATTTTTGAAGTCACACTATACTTTCACCAATTTTAGCCAATTATTTAGGTCATACTATCCTATGACTGGTTTTAGAATGTTTTTGAGGTCATACTATCCCATGACACAATTTAGCCAATGTTTGAGGTCATACTATGCTATAACTCAATTTAGTCTATTTTTGAGGTCTGATACTATAATACGACTCATCTTAGCCAATTATTTAGGTCATACTATACTATTTTTGAGGTGATCCCATGCTATGACTCATTTTAGCCTATTTCTGACGTAATACTATATTATAACTCGTTTTAGCCTATTTATAAGGTTCTACTATACTATGTCTCGTTTTAACCTATTTCTGA